AGTGACGGGAATGAAGGCACTAATGCTGCCTGTGTTCCGGGTGCGGGTGATCGCCCTGTGGACGGGGGGCATGGCTGCGGTGCCATTGACTTCAATACAACCCCCCCCCCGCCGCTGAACGCAGGGAGTCGGCCAGCTTGCATTCCAGTGCGTTCTAGAGGCCGCGGCGTCCTGTCCTCCCGCGGTGCTTGTGTGGCTGAATGTGGCCGACATGGGGAGAGGTGTTCCGTCCCTTTCCATCTGCGGCGTCTGACACATTCAGCCGGCACCGGCATGAGCACCGTGGGAGCATAGCCGTAGCAGGCTCCTTTTGCACCCGAGGCAAAAAAAAACCATGCCCCCCCAACAGGCGTGTGACGTCACCCAGCGCCCCGCCTCCAGGATTTTTTTTTTATTTTTTACTATTTTTTTTATTTTTATTATTTCTTATTTTTTAATTTTTAATATTTTTTTACTCTTGGGGGGGCTTTGGGGAAATATTAGGGGTCTAAACAGCCCCCTGATATTTCCCTTTTAAAATAGAAAAAGAAATTGAGGACACAAAGTCCTCAATCTCTTTTTCTGCAGCCTCTGTTCTAAATGAATGGAAAGCACAGAGGCTTCCCATTCATGCAGAAAATATTTACTATCATCCAGTTTCTGAATGGGGAGGAGCCTCTGTACAATGCTACTCCCCATTGACAAACTCATGAATGAACAGGAAGTGATGTAAATCCAGTTATTTACAAACACTGGAGTGATCAGCTGACCGCTCCAGTGTTTGTCCTGCACAGAGGATCGGAACATATTACTCATATGGAGGAGAGGCCATCGCGATCTAACAGGAAGTGATGTAAATATGTGAAATGTAACAATATAATAGTATGCATTATATGTTGGGCTGATATAAGGTATAACTTTAACTTAAACTATAACTTTATTGATATTTTAACATTAGGGAATAAAATGATTCTTTTAAAAATTGTTAACAATTTGTGTGTCTTAAAAGTCCCAAAAACATTGTCTAGAAAGTACAAATGTAATCAGCTGGTTAATCACAAACTGGATTGCACCGTATGTATCAATACAATACACAAATGGGTTAAACATCTCAATAAAAAATTAATTGGGCCACGTCTGGAATATCAATCCCTGAGGATGTAAAAATCTTAAAGCGTTAAAAATATTCACAGAGGGGAATTGCTGCATAATCATCGAGACAATTAACAATACAAATGTGGTAAAAGATAAATATATGTCAGAGAATTAACAGGTCTGTTGGTAATAATGAATCCTCCTCCGGGATAAAGGGGAAGAATATAAATCCATCTTCACTTCTCTATCTCTATCATAGTGCAGCTCACTCTGCTGCTGAACGTCACAGGACCATGCCAGGTAAGAGAGGACATGGACACAACTCCCACCAGGAAACATCTGACCAGTTTGTACGCCTGGTATCCATGTATCATGCATTCCCATTGCCTTGCACACATGAATATAAGCAAAGAACACATTTCACACTGCCCTAAGATGTAATATACAGTATGTCAGCTTACCAGCCCATGGACTTGGTGACTTCATTGTTTGTTTCAGGTTTTCCTCACCTGGTGATCCCACCAGTGGCAATCTTCTTGTCCTAGTTGGACAACGCTCACTCACTGTACTGTATGTATGGAGGAGAAATGTTGTCACCTTAGGCTGATCTTATGATTCGTCTTACAAACACCTCACTCACTCCTCATCTCCTCTACATAGGGGGGCTGTTTGGTATTTCTCAGAAGATAGCTGGGAAGGCAGATCAAATTTACAAGGACTCTGGATTCCTGGTAGAATCAACAGGATTGTATTCTGTACTTGCACTACTCATTGTATATACACTTGGACCGATCTCAAAAGCCCATGTACACTATCCCTTAAAATGGATCCATGAAGTTTTGAAGGTGGTAATATTGTTGTCATTATTTTTTTGTTTGTTTTATCTACATCATTTCACTACATTGGGTTTTGGAAGTAGATTACAGAGAGCAGTCGATGACATTGGGTTTTTTTGGACAGTCCCATCTCACAACACACTGTATTATGCATTCCCATTACTTTGCACCAGGGCCGGTGCTAGCATTCTTGCCTACACAGGCAAGGTGCATTTTTGCGTCCCTCACCCAGCAGCGCCCTCAGGCGGCCGCCTGACTTGCCTTGCGGTAGCGCCGGGCCTGCTTTGCACACATGAATAAAAGCAAAGAACAGATTTCACACTGACTTAAAAGTGAATTTAAAGGATAATTAAACACTGTTTTTTTTTTTACATATATCTATTGCTAACAAGCATATATCCAAAAACATTTTAAAAAAGGTTATGAAAAAGGTTGAAACCTACCTGTCTCCGCCGCTCGCTCCCGCCCGAAGATCTGAACAATTTTGGGCGGCCTAAAAGGATCATGAGTTGGGCACATGCACCATACAGATCTTCAGCCGGGAGACAAGGAGAGACACAAGGTAAGTCAATGCAGGCAGCCTGGCAGTGTGCACCCGCACAGACACCGTGAGACAGGAAGAGACAGGAGTTAGCGCTGGATCGGAGACCGGCAGCAGCGCTGGAGGGACTGATGAAAACTACTGGAAAGAAGAAGATGATCGGATCAAGTGGCATCATTTGAGGTAAGTCCTTACACTAGCATTGGGGGGGGGATATCCTTTAATGTCACTTTAAACCCAAGAACTAGAATGTGATAAATTGCAGCTTACCAGTCCTTAGATGGCTTCATTGTTTTATTGTTCAGGCTTTATTTTCACCTGGTGATCCCACCATTAACACACTTCCTGTCCTACCCAGATAGCAAGCAATTGTGCTGCAAGTTTGAAAATAACTTGCTAAACTATTGCAGACTTTGCCAAGCTTCATAATTTTGTTGCACAATTACAGCAAGTCTGCATTGCAAGTCTCCAGATCAACGTGCTTTGCAAAAGTGCTGTACACTTGCAGAGCTCTTGCTAAGACCTGCAGGACTCTTGCTGTAGACTTGCCAAGCAAATTTGCTACAAATTCAAAAAGTGTCAACTAGAACTTGTGCTGCGAGTGTTCTGCAAGTCTACAACCTGCCAGGAATGTGTGCAGCTAAAGTTAACAAGAATTAAAACTTAACCCTGACACAAGTTTGTGGCACGTTATCCTTGCTATCTGGGTAGGAGGACAATGCTTACTCAATGTACTGTATCTACGGAGGAGCAGCATTGTAAACCTAGGCTGATCTCCTGATTTGTACCACAAACACCTCTCCATCTCCTCATCTCCTCTGCATAGGGGAGCTGTTTAGTAGCTCATAGAAGATAGCTGGGAACACAGATAAAATGTACAAGGTCTCTAGGTGTGACAAAGACTCTCTCAGACAGAATGTGTAGGCACAACAAAGGGGTGGAATAACACATTGGAGAACTCTAGCTGTAACTCAGCATGGGGTGTGTTTGGAGTGGAGAGACCACTGCTTCCATGCATACAGGGAGGGTCCCACTCTGCAGGATGCCAGCAGGGGACAGGCTTTTCTACTTCAGTTGTAGCTTCTTTCTAAAGAAAATAAACTATAGGGCTTTGCACACCTTTTGTTTTGAATGCACCTGAGGTGCCTAGTTTTATTTTTAACCAGGAATCAGTTACCTTGTGATCTCAAATCCATTCGCAATCGCCAATGACATCACATAAACCAGCACACATTTCATAAATGTAATTGAATTGAGAAATGTGATTCCTGTCTTCATTTCTACGGTTTTGACCATCTGCTATCTTGGGGTTTTCAGAAAATGTTAAGAGGAACCAGACGCTGGTCACAGAATTTCTCCTACTGGGCCTCGGAGACCTCAAAAACTTCAGGATTTTACTCTTCATTGTCTTTCTAATCATTTTTATTATGGCCTTAACCAGCAACACCCTTGTCATTATCTTGGTTGCAGTCAACCAGAGTCTTCACTCTCCCATGTACTTCTTCCTCAGCCAGTTGTCCCTGTCTGAAGTCCTCTTCACCTGTGATATTGTGCCCAACCTATTATGGCTGACGCTGGCCGGCAGTGGGAAAATGTCAGTTTCCGGATGTATTTCTCATTTTTTTCTGCTTTCAGTTCAGATGATTTCCCAGTGCTTGCTGCTGGCCTTCATGTCCTTTGATAGGTACGTGGCCATCTGCAGACCGTTACATTACACCATCATCATGACACTGCGACATCAGTTACAAATGGTCATCTTCTCCTGGCTGGTCGGCATAGCGCTTTCTGTTGTGCATTACGTTTTCTTAAAGGAATTATCTTTTTGTGACCTCAATGTCATTAATAACTTTTCTTGTGATATTCCGGAACTCATTCAAGTCTCATGTTCCGATACGTATTTGATAGATGTGATTACATCTGTGACTTCCTTTGCCGTCGTTCTGCTTCCACTCTTGTTCATCATAGCGACCTACATCTTCATCCTTCGAGCCATCCTGAAGATCCCTTCCACCACTGGCAAACAGAAAACCTTCTCCACGTGCAGTTCCCACCTTATGGTTGTATCCATGTACTATGGCACTTTGTGTTCGGTGTACCTATCTCCATCTAGCAAGGACACTGTAAACAACAACAAGTCCCTGTCTTTGCTTTACACCTTGGTGACTCCTCTGTTCAACCCTCTGGTCTACAGCTTTCGAAACCAGGAGATAAGGACAGTCATTGTTAAGTATATTAGAATGCTTAACTTAAAAAACAGCAGCCTCTTGCCCTAAAGCAGAACTCCAGCCAAAATATAACAAGGTAAAAATGAATGGCCCATTAAAAGATAAAAAATATGGCTTTTGCTGCAGTATTCACCTTCAGTCCAGCGATTTCTCCCACAATGCTATGTTTCTGTCAACTAGATGCCCTCAGTCTGATGGCTAGCGTCATTCAACCATCTTCCTCTAAACCCAGGTCATCCTGGAACTGCCCCCAGGCCTGTGACTGGGCAGTAAAAGGAAAAGGAGAACAGTGATAAGATTATCTCGCCAACTCTCTGCTTTCTCCTCCAGTTAGCATGCATTTTGATAGCGCATGAACTGACTCTTCCTTCTACTGCTTTTTCCTCTCACACTCCAAGAGAATAATACCAATTAAAATGCAGGTACTTTCATTGGTTGCATTTAAAATATAATTAAACTAAAATAAATAAAAATATATAATGCATAAATAAAAAATAAATAAATATAAAAATAAAAGAAAGAAATAATAATAACAATAAATACATATCTGATTAAAATATAAATATATTTATATTCAGCTGTGTTGCCCTTTTTCGGGGAGGGGGGATCGAGTGCAATGGTCTACCCTAATCAGCTACATGGTAACCCGTAGGCAAACATATAGACCAGAGCCTCTACAATATGGGACCTTAATAATACTTTACTTATTCATGGCAGTGCCTCCACCCAGCTGGGCCTTGTGTAATTCAGGTGGGACTCCCAGTTGAGATTTAGCTTGTTCGGTGGAATAGGTGAAGAATTCCAACGCTTTCTCCACTGTTCCAGGGCAGATCGGCATCGCAAATCGCATGTGCAGGGAACCGATCTGCCCTGGAACAGCTGATTGGTCCTGAAATGTCACTTGTATCCGACTTTGTGAGTGCGGTGGAATGTAAGATCGCAGTCGGAGAGAAGTGACATTTCAGGACCGATCAGCTGTTCCAGGGCAGATCGGTTCTCCTGCACATGCAATCTGCGATACCGATCTGCCCTGGAACAGCTGGGAAAGTGCTGGAATGCTTCATCTATTGGCGGTCACACATTCCACCGCCGAAAAACTGGGCGGGATTACGTTAAAACGTGTGACCATGTCACCGGTCACACTTTTTAATGTAGTCACATCCTTTGATAGAACACCGCCATCAGAGGGGTATGGCCGGTACCCATGTGAGGGGTCACTCTTACATGGTTATCAACTGTACCGGGGCGGCATCCCGACGACCAGACCAGACCAGCCCACCTGGGACCCTGCAGAGCCCACCATAGAGAGTCTCAGGTGGGCTATACAGGATCTATGGTGTGCTCTGCAGGGTCTCAGGTAGGTCCAGCATGCTACTGCAACATTAGAGACCGGGGGGGGGGGCAGTGTGATCCGCTCCCACGCCCCCCCCCGTCTTGGGAGGGGGGCCCAAGATAAAATCTTGCACCAGGGCCCTTTGGTTATTAGTTCCGCCACTGGCTTCACCCACTCCTCTCATAGTAGGAAGAAGTAATTCCATCACAACAGAGGTTCTTGTGTCTCCTCTGTACCAGGTCATGACTGCAGCTTGGACCGATGAAGGTTTCACTGATGCTCCAGTGTCTCAATTGACTTAGGTCAGCATGGAGGAAGAGGTTTTAAGAATTCAGAATATTTTCTGAAGCACATGGTAGGCCCAGAGGAGCTGGCAGCAGCCAAGCTCCTAGTAGCAGGACTCCAGGCTAGGGAGAGAGCCCAGTGAGCAGCTGCAAACGCATCCTGTTCTTCCTATTCTTCAACAGGTATTTCCACCATGGCCCCTGCAAGCTTTAATGGAGGAATTATCTGAAGTATTTAAGCACAGCCTCACTAAAATGTGATGTTAAGGAGGAGAGCAGCAGGAGAAAAAAGGGAGGGGGACAACAGGCAGGGAGAACCAATTGTCAGTGATGTTCCTGCAGCTGCAGCTCACTGCCAAGTTGGTTCCAGTGATGGGGAGGTTGGGGATGATGATGAGGTCTCAGATTGTGTGTGCCAGAGATAGTATAGGAGAAAAGTGAGGGATAAGCACAACCTCAGTGAAGCTAAATGACATTCATGTGCAGGAGTGGAGGGAGCAACCCGCTAGTACAATGAATTTCTCTGCTCCACGGAGCAAGCCACTGGTATCCCCAGGTTCACTCCACAGGAGTGCTGTAGACAGAGTCATCGTGGTTTGCAGACTCTGCCTTCAGTGTATTACGTGTGGTAAATAATCTACCAGTCATTTGACCACTACATGCATGAGGAGCCACATGAATACTATCAAAAGTTTTTTTCTCTCTTTTTACTGCACTCTTTTCCCACTACACAAATATTTCCATCTGCAACCTCAAGCAAATGGGAATGGAAAGCCTTACAAAGAGTTTGAGAGGCTTACCTCATAGCAGCTCCAGTTGGGAAGAAGGTCAGCATGGGGCCACGCAGAATAGGGACAAGCATAGGCTTTAACCTTACTTTGAGTTTCAAAATCTCAAACTGTAACCTTGACCAGGGAGGTATCTCTTCCACAGCAGCTGGCATGTAAGAAAAAATGTTGTACCACAGTGACATACACGGCTGCCATGTTTTCACCCAGAAGGCCACCTTAATGGCCTCCTCTGGTCAATATAAGAGTCATTAGAGCCATCGTTCCCTTCCAAATGACCAAGACTTTTATCGTTCTGTCAGTAGAAGGAGGAACGGTGGTGGAGGTAGCTGCCTAAGGAAGACTTTCGAAGCCTTCTTTAGTAAGCAGCACCCAGGGCTATCTGTTGGCAGCAGTTATAGGCTATGTCTGAGCCATATGATCTCTGATTATTTGAGGCAATGGGTGGATGTTGACACCCTCAAAACTTTGGGGTCATGAGGATGGGCCACTGGCAAAGTACCCCTTACTCATTCACAAGGGGGGTGGCATCTGGGTGTCCCCTTCATGAAGGGGGGTACCCAGATGCAGATGATCCCCCCTGCCCGCAGACCCCCACAACCACAAGGTCCCCCATGGAAAAGCACCCTCCCGATGCCAAGTGCATGTGGCCTGGTATGGTGGAGGGAGGGGGGGCCACTCGTTCACGCCCCCCTTTCCTGCCCTTCCATGCTGCTGCCCAGATTAAGGGTCTGGTATGGGATTTTACGGGGAATCCTGCGGGTTTTTTTTGGCGTGGGGTTCCCCTAAAATTCCTACCAGACCTAAAGGGTCTGGTATGAATTGCCAGGAAACCGCACACTGTTTTTTTTTTTTTTTTTACATGGGGTCCCCCCTAACATTCCTACCAGACCTAAAAGGCCTGGTATGAAGTAAGGGGGCGGACCCCAAATTGTTTTTTTTATTATTATTATTTCTGTGACCAGTTGAAGATGTTAGTGTACTCTGTGAAAGCTGTCAGATTCTTTACATTCGGGATCGGAATGTCAGCGAAGAAGCAGAAGCTGTCACAGAATAACACGGATCTCTCGACTTCTTTCATTATTTACATTTTGTAACAATATTCTGTTACTTTGTTTTCATGTGAGATACAAGTCGGAGAAGCCAGAGGGTGGTAAATGACACATAGCTCTCCCACTTGTTGTGTTTCCTTCCGAATGAAATTTGTATTCATCCGCATTTGGTTATCAAACATTTGGATTAATCGCTTCTCTGCCTTTTTGGCTAAGATCAATTGTAGTATCTGTTCTTATCAGTCAAAGATGCACCGGTAGCCAATTGCCGGTGTAATTGTCTGAGTACTGGAGGAGGTTGCGGACACCGGGTTAACGACTCTTCGTTAATGGGTGCGCTTGGTAGTCAGACCTCTGTAAGGTGCTCAGACTCCTGATAATGGGCAGATCCGAAACTTGATCGAGACTGGAGGGTTGGGGGCGGCAGAAGCCTGTGCCCCCTGGGGGTGGCATCCCAGGGGTGCTGAGAAAGTCACTTGGGTGTGGGACCCCATATTGACTCACTGTAGCACTCGGTCACACACCACCTTGCAGATTCTGCACATCGCCTCTTGGACAGGCCTTATGGCTAGTCCGGGGCAATATTTTTGCACTCCGGCCCCTAAGGCCTGTCAGCGTGGTGCACTGGCACTCTTTATTTATTGCACTTAATGCACGATGCACGATTGGCTTTTTTTTAAAAGCGTTATTTGACCCACAGATGCTGAAGGTGCAGGTTTCTTCGGGGCCTATTCCTGATGCTGGGGGGAGATTCTGTGCCCTTATATAGGGTTCTCTGTCTCCTCCCACCCAGGAGGGGGTCTCTCTTCGGGAGAGCCCCCCTGCCTAGTACTGTGAGGGACCTGTTTCGGCAGGTCCCCAAAGGATCGCGGTCCACCGGCCTTCGGGTTGGTGGACCAACAGTCTCAACCCCTATCAGGAGCCTTGCGCCCCGGGGGGTCGGGAAATGGGTCCATTCTTGATTGAAGGACCTTGCACCCTTGTGCACGTTTTTGTGTGCTGTGATTTCACGGTTTAGTTTTTTTGTTCACAGGGGGAAGTTTGTTACCAACAACACGGTCCTTACTGTACTGTATAGTATCGTTACCCAGCTGCTTGACAGTTCCGCGGCATTCCGCTTGAAAGATGTGATATATGTTTGATCACACTGTATGTCTTTTACTTTACTTATGTTCAATAAAACGAAAATTTAAATGGAAAAAAAAAACAAACAGATTTAGGGGATGAGATGTAGGAATAGTTTATGATCTTTACTTATCCTCTCTTTGTTTTCTTTAGATGGGTTTCCCTTTTCTGAAGAATCCTCAGGGACCCCTCATGGTTTTATAAGAGGTTGTGTGACGGCAGGCATGGCCTATTGGTTCTTATAGGAAATTTGCTAAGACTGGTCATGTGATTCAGGAATACCGTGTATATGATGCATAGACGATGGCCATAAAATGTGGATATGTTGTGATTGTTAATGGCTCGTGTTCGCATACCATAGAGGTCCACTTTATCCCTGAAGAAGTGAACTTGCTCATGAAACATGGTGGACTCTCTTTTCCTTCCTCCCCTACTGACATTGAGATATGTGAAATGTAACAATATGATATTCATTATATGGTGCGGGGTGAGGCTACGATGATATATAGTAGGGCTGTGGAAATTATAGATTAATTTCTCGATTAATCGTTAAACTTTTTGATCGATTAAAATTATTTTGATCGCTAATGAACACACTCACCTCTCCGCCGGCTTCCGGGAGTCCCGTCGGCGATCCGGTGACGTCACAGACATCGACGTCACCGGACTCCACCCCCCTTCGTTAGCCGACGGAGCCACTTGGGCCGGTGAGTTTGCCCAAGAAACTTTCTGCACGAGCGCCAGCCAAGGCATTGGCCTATACACATACAGCACAGCAATGAAGTAATACAATGAACTGGGATCACACTAATCCAGCTGTTGTTTCCGGTTGCTTCCACTTTGTTATAATCCCAGTAACAGGTGACCGCGGAATATTTAGTAGCCAGGAAATGTCACGGAACACCTGAATCTTATGATATGGAGGGGGCGGGGCCCAATACTTTTGGCATTATAGTGTATGTATAAGGCTCCCAGACCCCAATGGCATTCAGGAGCTCCCCAATGTCATTCGGAAATTTGGATCCCGACTGTCGTTCGGGTCTAGGAGATTCAGCTTTAGTATTAATAGCTGTAAATGGTTTTCTGTGGTAGTCGTAACTAATATTTGTTCGTAAACTTATCTGAAACTAACAAAGATTCGGATTTTGTCTGAATCCGAAACCCCGAATCGAATTGAATTTCGGACCTGAATCCCGCAATAACGAAAAATCCGAACCAGATTTTTTCTGCAGCTTACATCTAGTGATATGAGGTATAACTTTAAGTTAAATGATAACTTTATTGATATTTTAACATTAGAGAATTAAAAAAATTGTTAACAATTTGTGAGTCTTAAAAGTCCCCAAAAACGTTGTTCTGGAAAGTAGAAGGAACATCGCAGGTACTGAACTGGTTCATCGCACAAGTGGCTTGCACCGTCCGTATCAATACAATAGATAAAAGGGCGAAACATCTCAATAAAAAGTTAATTGGTTCTTTTTAACGTTCGGCAACTTCTGAGATTTCGATCCCCGAGGATGTGAAAATCTAACAAGACAACAAAACAAAAATATTCACAGAGGGAATTCCTACAAAATTATCAACACAAAAGATAAATATTTATTTAAATAAAGTAATCGGAGGTCTGTATGTATCAATGAATCCTCCTCTGGGACGGAAGGGAGTTACTGAAGAAGATAAAAAGATCTCGTCTGTCCCCGTCATAGTACAGCTCACTCTGCTGCTGAACGTCACATGACCATGCCAGGTAAGAGCGGACATGGACACCTGACCAGAGGACGTCTGAGATCCATGTTTCTTCCCATCCCTCGCACAGATCAATACAGGAAAGAACAGATCCCACACCGACCGACCGACCGACCGACCGACCTAAAGCCCATTTCCACCTTTGGGGATTTAAAAAAAAAAACATATGCCAGCAATGTACTCCGAGTGTTCATGTCGCAGACATAGGCAGTGGCTGTACACGAGCACAGAACAGTCCTTTTATTGTTAGTTGTCCTCTCCGTCTCCTCCTGGCTGATTTTGAAATGGCCGCCTCTGTGCTCGGTGCACATTACAGGCTGCCGTGTACAGTGCGGACTACAAGGTAGGTCAAGGAGAACTACATTTCCCACAATGCTCTGCTTCCTCCTGCAGGAGATGTCTGTGGAAAGTCTGAGCCCCCCCACCCACCATTCATTAATATAGTCCTTTTATTGTTAGTTGTCCTCTCCGTCTCCTCCTGGCTGATTTTGAAATGGCCGCCTCTGTGCTCGGTGCACATTACAGGCTGCCGTGTACAGTGCTGGACACAGTCCAGCAAGAGAGAGCGAGACAGAGACACAGAGAGAGACAGAGACAACCTAGAGAATGACAGAGGCACAGAGACAGCTCAGAGAGAGAGACAGCCCAGAGAGAGAGACAGAGAGACAGCCCAGATAAAGAGGAGACACAGAGACAGAGAAAGGCAGGCACAGAGACTGCCCAGAAAGAAAGACAGACAGACACAGTCCAGCAAGAGAGAGCGAGACAGAGACACAGAGAGAGACAGAGAGACAGCCCAGAGAGAGAGAGAGAGAGAGAGAGAGAGAGAGAGAGAGAGAGAGAGAGAGAGAGAGAGAGAGAGAGAGAGAGAGAGAGAGAGAGAGAGAGAGAGAGAGAGAGAGAGAGAGAGAGAGAGAGAGAGAGAGAGAGAGAGAGAGAGAGAGAGAGAGAGAGAGAGAGAGAGAGAGAGAGAGAGAGAGAGACACACACACATAGGAGTAGACCAGAGAGAAAGACAAAGACTGCTCAGAGAAAGGGAGATAGAGAAAGGCAGAGACAGTCCAGAGAGAGAGAAAGACAGACACAGTCCAGCAAGAGACACAGATACAGCCCAGAGAGGGACAGAGGCACAGAGACAGCCCAGAGAGAGAGAGAGAGACACATAGGGACAGCTCAGAGAGAGAGAGAGAGAGAGAGAGAGAGAGAGAGAGAGAGAGAGAGAGAGAGAGAGAGAGAGAGAGAGAGAGAGAGAGAGAGAGAGAGAGAGAGAGAGAGAGAGAGAGAGAGAGAGAGAGAGAGAGAGAGAGAGAGAGAGAGAGAGAGAGAGAGAGAGAGAGAGAGAGAGAGAGAGAGAGAGAGAGAGAGAGAGAGAGAGAGAGAGAGAGAGAGAGAGAGAGAGAGAGAGAGAGAGAGAGAGAGAGAGAGAGAGAGAGAGAGAGAGAGAGAGAGAGAGAGAGAGAGAGAGAGAGAGAGAGAGAGAGAGAGAGAGAGAGAGAGAGAGAGAGAGAGAGAGAGAGAGAGAGAGAGAGAGAGAGAGAGAGAGAGAGAGAGAGAGAGAGAGAGAGAGAGAGAGAGAGAGAGAGAGAGAGAGAGAGAGAGAGAGAGAGAGAGAGAGAGAGAGAGAGAGAGAGAGAGAGAGAGAGAGAGAGAGAGAGAGAGAGAGAGAGAGAGAGAGAGAGAGAGAGAGAGAGAGAGAGAGAGAGAGAGAGAGAGAGAGAGAGAGAGAGAGAGAGAGAGAGAGAGAGAGAGAGAGAGAGAGAGAGAGAGAGAGAGAGAGAGAGAGAGAGAGAGAGAGAGAGAGAGAGAGAGAGAGAGAGAGAGAGAGAGAGAGAGAGAGAGAGAGAGAGAGAGAGAGAGAGAGAGAGAGAGAGAGAGAGAGAGAGAGAGAGAGAGAGAGAGAGAGAGAGAGAGAGAGAGAGAGAGAGAGAGAGAGAGAGAGAGAGAGAGAGAGAGAGAGAGAGAGAGAGAGAGAGAGAGAGAGAGAGAGAGAGAGAGAGAGAGAGAGAGAGAGAGAGAGAGAGAGAGAGAGAGAGAGAGAGAGAGAGAGAGAGAGAGAGAGAGAGAGAGAGAGAGAGAGAGAGAGAGAGAGAGAGAGAGAGAGAGAGAGAGAGAGAGAGAGAGAGAGAGAGAGAGAGAGAGAGAGAGAGAGAGAGAGAGAGAGAGAGAGAGAGAGAGAGAGAGAGAGAGAGAGAGAGAGAGAGAGAGAGAGAGAGAGAGAGAGAGAGAGAGAGAGAGAGAGAGAGAGAGAGAGAGAGAGAGAGAGAGAGAGAGAGAGAGAGAGAGAGAGAGAGAGAGAGAGAGAGAGAGAGAGAGAGAGAGAGAGACACACACACATAGGAGTAGACCAGAGAGAAAGACAAAGACTGCTCAGAGAAAGGGAGATAGAGAAAGGCAGAGACAGTCCAGAGAGCCAGAGGCACAGAGACAGCCCAGAGAGAGACAGAGGCACAGAGACATCCCAGAGAGACAGAGACAGCCCAGAGAGAGAGAGACATAGACAGTCCAGAAAGAGACAGAGACAGCCCAGGGAAAGAGACAGAGACACAATGACAGCCCAGAAAGAAGCAGACACACACACACACAGACAGCCCAGAGAGAGACGGAGACACATAGAGACAGCCCAAAAAGAGACAGACATATAGGGACAGCCCAGAGAGAGAGAGAGAGACAGATACACAGAGATAGCCCAGAGACAAACACAGAAACAGCCGAGAGAGAGAGAAAGACATCCCAGACAGAGACACATATAGACAGCCAAGAGAGAGACACACACGGACAGCACAGAAAGAGACAGAGACAGCTGAGAGAGAGACATGTAGACAGCCCTGAAAGAGACACATAGAGACAGCCCTGAAAGAGACAGAGACACATAGAGACAGCCCAGAGAGAGAGACACATAGGGACAGCCCAGAGAGAGAGAGACATAGGGACAGCCCAGAGAGAGAGAGACAGAGACACATAGCGACAGTCCAGAGAGAGACAGAGACACATAGGGACAGTCCAGAGAGAGACAGAGACACATAGGGACAGTCCAGAGAGAGACAGAGACACATAGGGACAGTCCAGAGACAGAGACACATAGGGACAGTCCAGAGAGAGAGAGAGAGAGACACATAGGGACAGTCCAGAGAGAGAGAGAGAGAGAGAGACATAGGGACAGTCCAGAGAGAGAGAGAGAGAGACACATAGGGACAGTCCAGAGAGAGACAGAGACACATAGGGACAGTCCAGAGAGAGACAGAGACACAGACACATAGGGACAGTCCAGAGAGAGAGAGAGAGAGAGAGACATAGGGACAGTCCAGAGAGAGAGAAAGAGACATAGGAATAGACCAGAGAGAGAGAGACACATAGGGACAGTCCAGAGAGAGACAGAGACACATAGGGACAGTCCAGAGAGAGACAGAGACACAGACACATAGGGACAGTCCAGAGAGAGAGAGAGAGAGAGAGACATAGGGACAGTCCAGAGAGAGAGAAAGAGACATAGGAATAGACCAGAGAGAGAGAGACACATAGGGACAGTCCAGAGAGAGACAGAGACACATAGGGACAGTCCAGAGAGAGACAGAGACACAGACACATAGGGACAGTCCAGAGAGAGAGAGAGAGAGAGACATAGGGACAGTCCAGAGAGAGAGAGAGAGACATAGGAATAGACCAGAGAGAGAGAGAGACACATAGGGACAGTCCAGAGAGAGACAGAGACACATAGGGACAGTCCAGAGAGAGAGAGACAGAGACACATAGGGACAGTCCAGAGAGAGAGAGAGACATAGGGACAGCCCAGAGAGAGAGAGAGAGACATAGGGACAGCGCAGAGAGAGAGAGAGAGAGACATAGGGACAGCGCAGAGAGAGAGAGAGAGAGACATAGGAATAGACCAGAGAGAAAGACAAAGACTGCTCAGAGAACGGGAGACACAGAGACAGCCCAGAGAGAAGGAGACAGATGGACGTAGCCCAGACATACAAAACACAGTGATAGAGAAATATTAGAGACTGATAGTTCAGAAAGTTTCTCCCGCCTTTGGAACGTGTCCAGGAAATGTCTCTTCCTCCATAGTGCAGGCCGATCCGTTGTGCGGTGATCTTGTTACAATGTCTGGCAGGGAGGGTGGTGATCTTGTTACAATGTCTCGCAGTGAGGGTGGTTCTCCGGGTGTCCGGCCTTCTCACAGCTGCTCTAAGTAGATTGATTTCACAGGAACTGAGTTCTCGGGGGAAAGAAATATTAAACTCTCAAACGTTTTTCAGTAATAAATCCAAACCAAACAAATATACACCAATCAGCCACAACATTGTGACCACTGAGAGGCAAATAACACTAACTGTCTGGTGTAGAGCCAAAGGAAATCTCAGCGCTCCAATTCCTTAGCCACCATCAGGACTCCCCAGGTGCTGGTCTAATAGGTGCGTCTCCACCTTAGAATGCAGCAGTATACGAACAGAGCGCACCATCCAGAGAATTCCAATGCTTCACACATTATTGAAATTCACAGCAAATCCAGTATAACGGTGAATAAAAGTGCATAAAGCAACAAATGCCAGCCAGAGGTCTCTTTGAAGAAGCCTACGGGTGAAACATGTGAGAGTTTGTAGCTGGGCAGTGGTTGGGGGTGTGCAGTGCTGGCATTTGTAGCTTTATACACTGTTATACTGGATTAACTATCTGGTGTGACGCTTTGGGCAATGTTCTGCTGGGAAACTTTGACACGTAGCACCGACCTAAACATTGTTACTGACCAAGTGCACTCCTTCATGGACACGGTATTCCCTGATGGCAGTGGCCTCTTTCAGCAGAATTATGAGCCCGGCCACACTGCAACAATGGTTCAAGAATGGTTTGAGGAACACAACAATGAGTTTGAGGTGATGACTTGGCCTCCAAATCCTCCAGATCTCATTCCATTGGATGATTTGTGGCATGTGCTGGAAAAACAAGTCCGTTCCATGGAGGTCGATCACCTCACAACTTACAGGATTTATGGGATCTGCTACTCACGGCTTGGTGCCAGATACCACAGCATAGCTTCAGAGGTCTAGTGGAGTCCATGCCTGGATGGGTCAGGAGAAGGGGGACCTATTTAATATTAGGGGGGGTCATCAGATACCACCGCACACCTTCAGAGGTCTAGTGTAGTCCATGCCTTGATGGGTCAGGAGAAGGGGGACCTATTTAATATTAGGGGGGGTCATCAGATACCACCGCACACCTTCAGAGGTCTAGTGTAGTCCATGTCTTAACGGGTCAAAAAAAGGGGGACCTACTCAATATTAAGTGGGTGGTCATAATATTATGCCTGATCTGTGTACAATGCCCAGCAAAGTATATCTTTACATTTTTACCCAAGAACTTACAGTCATCATGTTTCTTAATATCTGGTTTCAACTCTCTCAGCTCCACTTCACCAAACTTCCTGTCCAGTACAAGATCACAATAGACAGCACAGTCCCCAACACCTGTCCATCTACTAGCTTGGAGAAGGGAGGAAGGAGGAGCAGTAAGAAGTTGAGTGACTTACCTTGATGTGCCTGTGTGTTTGTGGAGACATGCACAGCTTGCTAGCACACACATGGGTGGCTCCATAGGACCCTGCAAGGGTGCAAGATATCAGGACCAGAGCTCAGGGGACCAGTTGATTGTGCAGGAAGCTAAAACTTTTAAAAATCAAGGAGCAGCATCCATTGTAAGTGATTTTATCAGCATTTGAAATAGCTTAAAAACCTTTTGACTTTAATATAACTTTATATAGCACCTGTGTGCTCCGCTCACGTGAAGGGTGCTGGATCAGCAGTGTGAGCTAAGCCCATTTGTTGCTGACTGAAGTTCTGTGAGAACAGGAAATATCACAGGACTTCAGGGGAATGGAGACCAGTGAGGAAGTTCTCAGCTGCTTCACAGTCAGTACATGACAATCCAACCCCAGGGTCAGATTCATCTTCCTGTGGAAGGAAACTTGGACTTGTAGAGCACTCAGGCCCACTATGATGATAATATCACACGACCCATCACAAGTGGCACAAATGGAGCTTAATTGATCAATGCGATTGCTGTCTTTATTGTTAGTCTACACTTCTGACCATCTCCTATCTTCTGGTTTTTAGAAAATGTTGAGAACAACCAAACACAGGTCACAGAATTTCTCCTACTGGGTCTCGGAGACCTCAAGAACTTCAGGATTTTACTTTTTATTGTCTTTCTTATCCTTCATATTATGGGCTTAACCAGCAACATCCTTGTCCTTATCTTGGTGGCATTCCACCGGGTCCTTCACTTTCCCATGTACTTCTTCCTCAGCCAGTTGTCTTTGTGCGAACTCCTCTTCATCAGCGAAATTGTGCCCAACATATTATGGCTGACGCTGGCCGGCAGCGGGAAAGTGTCCGTTTTCAGATGTATTTTTCATTTTTTTCTGCTTTCAGTTCAGACCATCACCCAGTGCTTGCTGCTGGCCTCCATGTCCTTTGACAGGTACGTGGCCATCTGCAGACCGTTACATTACACCGTCATCATGACATTTCCAAATCAGCTTCAAATGGTCATCTTCCCCTGGTTGCTTGGCCTAGCGCTTTCTGTCATGCTTTACGTTTTCATAAATAAATTATCTTTTTGTGACCTTAATGTCATTAATAACTTTTCTTGTGATATTCCGGAACTCATTCAAGTCTCGTGTTCCGATACGTATTTTATAGATTTGATTACATCTGTGACTTCCTTTGTTGTATTTGTACTACCACTAATGTTCATCATAGCGACCTACATCTTCATCCTTCGAGCCATCCTGAAGATCCCGACCACCACCGGCAAACAGAAAGCCTTCTCCACGTGCAGCTCCCACCTCATGGTTGTATCCATGTACTATGGCACTTTGTGTTCCGTGTATCTAGCCCCATCCGGAGAGAGCTCTGTAACCGCCAACAAATCCCTGACTTTGCTTTACACCTTGTTGACTCCTCTGTTCAACCCTCTGGTCTACAGCTTGAGGAACCAGGAGATAAGGACAGTCATTTTTAAGTATATTACAATGTTTAGCTTACAAAAAAACAGCAGCCTCTCGCTTTAAAGCAGAACTCCGGGCCAAATATAACAAGGTATAAATTAATGGCCCATTAAAAGGTAAAAGAAAACCCCCAAACCAGCACTCAATCTAGAGATTTCTCCTGGAATTCTGTTTCTGTCCGTAAATGTCCTGTGTGCTCAGATACCTTCCCCGATACTGGAACTTCCAGTCAGAAGGAGATTTCCTCTGACCGGACGTGCCGCGACAGAACATGGAGCCAGCTTTCCAGTTAATCAGGAAGCCGGGCAGCGGGCAATGACTTGTTGCCCGGCCTCCTGATTGGCTGGGAAGCCGGCTTCCCTGCCAATCAGCAAGGAGCCAGCCAAACATCATGGAGCTGGCTACCTGGGCAATCAAGAAGCTGGCGGTGGATAAAGACACATCGCCCGGCTTCCTGATTGCCCGGTAACCCGGCTCCATGCTAGCGGAAGTAACGTACTTTTACCTGGGCAATCAAGAAGCTGGCGGTGGATAAAGACACATCGCCCGGCTTCCTGATTGCCCGGTAACCCGGCTCCATGCTACCTGAAGTAACGTACTTGCTGCCCGGCTTCCTGATTGGTCAGGAAGCCAGGCAGCTTCGGCATGTGAAGCCGGTATTTTTTAGCTAGAACACCAGCTTCACAGGCAATCAGGAAGCGGGGCGACGGGTCATGATCTGCCGCCTGACTTCCTGATAATCAGAGCACAAGGCACCGGTACTCGGTATCGGCGACAGGGCCGGATTTCCCACAAGGCCAACCAAGGCTCGGCCTCGGGGTAACAGGCAGTAGAGGGGCAGCAGGGGTGTGGAATTCCTATCTCCCAATGCCTGGGACATGCAGTTCCGGGCGCCGGGTGGGTAGTTATTTTCTACATTTAGCCCGGCTTTGGTCTGCCATTCTCCATGGGGGCGGTGCATTGAGGAACCTGGCCTTGGGGCAGCAGAAAGAGTAAATCCGGCCCTGATCGGTGAGTACTGAAGGATAAATATCGGTACTCGCACTCGAGACCGAAAAACCGGTATCAGTGCATTCCTAGTAATAGATTATAAAGATTTCCGGACATGTGCAGCCCCCCCAGTGTCTACAACTGTTGAAGTGAATTTATATTACTCATGATACAAACTGATACATACATTTTTGGGGACAAAAAAGGGCTTTCTGTTGTGGTTTTGTCTTCCAAGTATTATTTCATTTACTATGTATTTTAAAATAAAAAATAGGCTCCAATATATATATATATACAGTATATACCATCATGTTACCACCTTCATGCCGATGACACTGAAATATATCTCTCCACTTCACAATCCCTCTGTGTCCTTGTACGCCTCTAATTTACACCTTCCCCCAACTTTTCATTGAGATATTGATAATGCAACTATCGCTCCCAGGGGCGTTCCGAGGACGGGTGTCACCCGGAGCGGATACAGGGTGACACCTCGCCGTGACGTCATCGCACATGCGCAGTCATCTTATTGATCTTGGTGATGGACGCCGGCAGAGAGAGGAGGGGACGTTCACCCGGTGGGATGAGGGTCCCCTCCTCTCTCCTTGAACTGTCGGGCTCTCGGTCCATGAACGACTGCTCGACTTTTCAGAGGGGGTGACACCAAAATGACTGTCAGTTATGTTATGTAATGAAGATGAAAGCCACTAAATATTCCATTTCCTTTGGGTTTAGTTATGCTGTAACTTCCCTGCCAAGGCGTTTTTTGTGTTTTTTATCACACACGTTATAATCCACATTTTAGGCCTGAAAAATACTTAAAACCCCCCAGAATGATACAGACCCTGTAGAGTAAAATGGCAGCAACTGCACAGTTTTACGCTGCGTGTTATCCGCGCAGTTCTTTATCAAACCCAAAATTTCAGTAAAAATTACACTTAAAGTAGTATTCAGGTCTGGGCGTTTTTTATCTTACTGCATTCTCTGCATTAGGGTAAAAACAGCCCAGCACCTTTTTTCTACCCCAGTCCCCCCCCACACTTACCTGTCAGCTGCGCTCCTCCCCACCGCCGGTCCCAAAGCGATCCTCCGTCCGTACCCCAAACTTCCGGGTTGCAGGGGAGGATACTGATGGCAGAGGAGCCATAGGCTCCTTCTGCCATCAATCAAAGAGGGAAGAGGCTTGGCCTGCCACAAGGCTGTGTGTGTCTATGGACGCGCACACCCGCTGCGGGCACAAGCGCGCACGGGTGCCTCCATTAGAACGAGGGTGGCACCCGTGCAGGGGGCGGGGGTAAGAGCGCTGCGGGGACACACTAGAAAAATGGAATGAAGAACTTTTAAAGAATAAAAGCAACAGCCTCCAGCAAAGGAGGGTCTACTTAAAGGAGACATTTTTTTTTTTAATGGTTTTAATATCACTTTAAGTTAATTTTAGTGCACAAAACCCCCAATATAATACCCATTTTTTTGGTAAAATATAAAAGATGGGGTTGTGCCGAGTAAACAGATATCCAATACACCAAGCGTAAAAATTGTGCGCGTACGCGAAACGGTAACAAAATATGGTACCACAAATTGTTCATAGGCGATACTTGTACAGATCATCAGTGTAGAGTTGACTGTGAATATTGTCCCAATAATTATTGCTCTGACTTACTCTGCCGTACATGGTGATACCTAAAATCTGTAGCGCAATCGTCGTTTTCGTACATAGGCGCACCTGACGTGTGTTTACATTACTGAGCGTGCGATCGCAGGGGCTTTGAATCCTTTTTAGAATTTTAAAATGTATTTTATTTAACTTCATTTTTTTAGTCTTTTCTGTTTGATAAAGGAGAACTATGGGGTCAGTGTTTTTCCCCATAGTTCTCCTAAGGGTAATGGGAGGACACAAACTAGCGTCCTCCCGTCACCCTAGGCTCAGTATACCGCGAGCTACAGCTCGCGGTATACTGAGACGCCGCAGCCGGGACGGATCCCGACATTACTGTCAAGATCCACCCAGCTGCATGATTGACAGCTGGCTCTGCCTATCCAGAGGCAGAGCCAGCTGTACCCACCCCCTCCCCCGTCCGTTCCGCCAGTTCCGCTGGAGGATCAGACAGGGGAGGAGGGGAATCCCTGCCGGGAGCCGTGAGTGACAGTCACGGCTCTCTGCCTGGGATAGATCGAGAAGTGAGCGAGCGACGCTATGTGTTCTCTCACTTCCCGAGGTCGTCTAGAACTATGAGGCTGAGTGATTTTCACTCACCTCATAGTTCTCCTTCAATTTCATTGCTATCACATAGGGGAGGCTCACAAGGTGTGGGAGGGTGGTGACCTATGTGATAACATATTAGTGGTGACAGGCTCCCTTTAAGGTGACATTAGGGGTCTGTTGAATAGCTTCTTCCCGGCATCTCTAGTCGGGGAATGACAGCTGAGGGGGCGAAAGTGATGTTTTTGGCTCCAATCAGCAAGCAGATGTTCAATGGTCTCACTCTCCCTGATTTCCACTGACACCTGTGATGCCGGTCCCAGACCCGCAGGAGGGGCAGCGGGGCCCGGGAAGCAAGGCGAGGGTGTCGGATGGAGAGGCACTCTTCACCAACTCCTGGAAGCAAGCTGGCGGCAGCCCAGCCACCAGAATTGCTTCCAGTGTAAAGTCAGCAGTCGGATTTACACATGTATACATAGCCAACGGGAGTCTATTTACAAGGGCCCGCTGCCAGCGGCATACAGCATACGTCACTGGAAGCAAAAGAGTTGAAGAGTAACCCCACTTATGTTCAGAAAAAAACTCACAGGGCTATTCACAAAAGGGATGAAGAGTTTGGAGAAGGCCGGAGAAGTGAACAATCTAGGACAGTGGTGGCGAACCTTGGCACTCCAGCTGTGCCAAAACTACAAATCCCAACATGCATCTGCCTCTGGGATTTATGTCTGTGCCTGTCAGAGCCTTGCAATGCCTCATGGGACTTGTAGTTCCAAAACAGCTGGAGTGCCAAGGTTCGCCACCACTGATCTAGGACAACATAGCTGGACTGGAAAAATTCTCCAATTCAGCTCCAGTTCAGCGATGTTGTCCTAGATTGCTCACTTCTCCTGCCTTCTCCAAACTCTTCACCCTTTTATAAATAGACCTGTCAATCCCCCTTTGTTTGACCAATGTACATTGGAAGGACTTTAACCCCTTCATGAGTGAGTTCTTTTTCATTTTTTGCACCCATGTTATATTCCACATTTTAGGCCTGAAAATTACTTAAAACCCCCACACATGATATATTTCCTGAAAGCCGAGACCCTATAGAATAAAATGGTGGCCGTTGCAAAGTTTTATGCTGCACGATATTAGCGCAACTCCTTATCAAACCCCCATTTCGTGAAAATTTTACTTAAATGCCCCAAAACAAAATTAAATACCCATTTTTTGAAATAAAATATAAAAGATGAGGTTACAACGAGTAAATAGATATCCAACACGCCTGGGTTAATTTGACCTGGTATAAGTAGAAGGGAGATTTAGTTCATGCGCTATCAAAATGCATGCTAACTGGAGGAGAAAGCAGAGAGTTGGAGAGATGATCTTGTCACTGTTCTCCTTTTACTGCCCAGTCACAGTGGGGGGGGGGGGGGGAAAGCACCCCCCTCCAACATACCAGGCTACATGACCTCGGAGGGTGTTTTTCCAAGGGGATCCCCATGTGAATGAACAAGGGGTAGTTGTACCCCTTTTCATTCTCTAAAGGGTTAAATAAAATGTAAATACACCACTCCTTAGAATAAATTTCACTTCCTCATTAACAAGGGGGGTGGCATCTGGGTGCCCCCTTTAAGAAAGGGGTACCCAGATTCAGATGAGCCCCCCTGCCTGCAGACCTCCACAGCCACCGGGCCAGTGTTGTGGGGAAGAGGTCCTTGTCCCCATCGGCATGGGAACAAGGTACTTTTCCAGGAGGACCTTGTGACAGACCGCCTGGTACCCCGACTGGGTACCTCCGTCAGAAAACAGCTTCTTCTCTCCGCTGGAACCTGAATTCCAGAGTCCTCAGCCCAAACCTGCCTAATTATTGGACAGAACCAATGTATTAGGACAGAAAGCTAAACTCCTCAAACATCAAACAACACCAATGTTGAAGTGGAAACCAAGAACTGCTTTTTTAAAGAAAGCACACAGAATTTATACCTCACAGAATCACATAGGAGTGCAGGGTGTTCCCTCCCCCAGACAGCCAGCTGACGCATTGGAAGTCCTTAATTAGATAATAGCTTGATCCCATCGCTCTAAACAATGGCCCCTCCAGACAGCCTGCTGTCTATAATGAACACAGGGTCACTTAAATGTAATGTCAGGGGAAACATGCAGTATTTTCACTCCACACATAAACCTAGGAGAATGGTTCAATGTAACCCCAAGAGGTCTGAGTGGGGTCTCCATAGTTCTAGGTCCATAGTCAGTAGGAAGGAGGCGAGCCCTCAGGCTCCAGCAGCCCCAGTGACGGTTCAGTCCGTCACAGTCCCACCCTGGAAAAGCACCCCCCCAATGCTGAGGGCATGTGGCCTGGTATGGTGGAGGGAAGGGAGGGTGCTCATTCGTCCATTCGGCTGCTGCCTGGATTAAGGGTCTGGTATTGGATTTTAGGGAGAATCCCAAGGGTTTTTTGGCGTTTGGGTTCCCCTAAAATTCCTACCAGACTTAAAGGGTCTGGTATTAATTGCCGGGGAACCACATACTGTTTTCTTTTTTTTTTTCATCGGGATCCCCGCTACCATTCCTACCAGACCCAAAGGGTTTGGGTTGAATTGGGGGGATGATCCCATGCTGTTTTGTTAAATTACTATTATTTCTGTGACCAGTTAAACGCTTTTGTGTACTCTGTGACAGCTGTCAGATTCTTTACATTCGGGATCGGAATGTCAGCGAAGAAGCAGAAGCTGTTACAGAATAACACGGATCTCTCGGCTTCTTTCATTGTTTACATTTTGTAACAATATTCTGTTACTTTGTTTTCATTTGAGATACAAGTCAGAGAAGCCGGAGAGCCGTGACTGACAGATCTCCCGCCTGTTGTGTTTCCTTCCGAATTAAATTTGTATTCATCCGAATTTCGTTATCAAACATTTGGATACGTTCGGATTCGTATATTCGTATGCAGACCGTCGCCTCAGAGGAAGTCAATAGTGACGAAATGCATCAGGTGGGCGGATCTATGCGAGCATTGCAATCATAGAGACAGGAGCTCCAGTGGACACAATCCATGTGCAATTGCCTTATTTTAATTGTAAGTGCATTTTAATCGTTTTAAATAAATTTATTCTGACATACTACACTATGGGAAGCCTTTTTTTCTCTCTCTGAGCACAAGAGAAGGTGGAAGATGGAGGAATAGTTTTACACGGTTTTGGAAAGATAAACCAGAGTTGGGAGGAATCTTCCCCAATTTATTGTCGGATTAAAAACAAAGGAGAGGATTCGTTTCTATATATATCAACAAAACGCTAATTGTTCATCTGAAATAAGGTGAGTAATAGGAGTCGGTGAGTGCGGCCAGATCTTCTCTTTGAGCACGGTGGAGACTGGAGAGCACTGATTCACTCATTGTTTTTGCATTCACGGACGTTGGTGTTGACTATAAAAGCAGGAAGATATATCCTCACATAGAAGGACTTTATTGTATTCAGAAGTAATGGACTTCACACATGGTTATGCAGATTAGGTGGGAGTTATACATCACTTGTGAGATTCAACACAGGATTTTCTATATGTACACATTTTTTTATATTATATATAATGTATGTATATATATAAAAAGTTTATTGTTTAGGACAAGTATTCAGGAGATCCATTCTATTTCATATACGTTGTAACAAAAAAAATGTCTCACTTTAGCTTGAGTCTCTCTATATTAACCGGCCACTAAATGGCTCCATTTCTCTAGAACAGAACAATGGGCCATGTTCCTGACAGTCACAATATCATGCCAGGTAAGGGAATCACAACGAGGGAATAAAGAGACCAATAAAGATACTTGGCGGGATTTGTAGATGTCACTTTGACTATTCCATTTTGGTTTAGTTCCAGCCCTTTCAATACATCAGATTTTGGAAGAGCACACGGAACACAAGTTAGAAAATATACTGAAGGATGACTATTGGGTCAGTGCTGCTCGACTTCTCACTACAAAAAACAAAGAGATAGTAAAATCATTCTTATTAGTACCGTGCGCCCATTAGATTTTACAAAACAAACAAAAAAAACTTTAAATTGAAGTTTACATTGTGTTTTAGGACAAAAAAAAAAAAAAGGAGACTTTCGTCCAAAAAGCATTTAATTTCCTGAACATTTTCTATATATTTAAATATGATATTTTTTCTATATAAGTATGAAAATGATTTTTTAAAGGAGAACTATGGGGTCAGGGCTTTCCCCCATAGTTCTCCTTAGGGTAACGGGAGGACACAAACTAGCGTCCTCCCGTCACCATAGGCTCAGTATATAGGGAGCTACAGCTCGCGGTATACTGAGACGCCGCAGCCGGAGCAGATCCCGACATCGATGTCGAGATCCGCCCAGCTGCGTGAGTGACAGCTGGCTCTGCCTATCTAGAGGCAGAGCCAGCTGTCACTCACGCAGCTGGGCGGATCTCGACATCGATGTCGGGATCTGCTCCGGCTGCGGCGTCTCAGTATACCGCGAGCTGTAGCTCCCTATATACTGAGCCTATGGTGACGGGAGGACGCTAGTTTGTGTCCTCCCGTTACCCTAAGGAGAACTATGGGGAAAAGCCCTGACCCCATAGTTCTCCTTTAAGTTTTACCAGCAATGATTTTTAAATAGAAGTATGATCTAAATAGAAGTATGTAATTTATACTATGATCCATCTCAGGGGCGTAACTAGAAATCACAGGGCCCCATAGCAACGTGATTTCTAGTTACGTCCCTTGCAGAGCCCACCTGAGGCCCCAAACAGCTCACCTGAGAGTGACCCTGCAGAGCCCACCATAGACTCTATGGTGGGCTGGTCACACCCCTGCACACCGCTTAACTTTAACCCCCGATCCGCTGTCGCCTCCTCCTCCTGCACAGGGCCCTGCTTCCTCTTCCATCCTTGGGCCCCATCTCCTCTTCCATCGCCGGGCCCGTCTCCTCTTCCATCGCCGGGCTCCGTCTCCTCTTCCAACGCCAGGCCCTGTGTCCTCTTCCGTCGCTGGTCCCCGCCTCCTCCTCTGCTGCCGACGCCGGGCCCAGCATACTCCGACGCAGCTGTTGGCTGTCACTGACCCAGCAGCGGCTGTGAGGAGGAACGCGCCGCTGCAAAGATGACTGACAGGTTGTCGGTGACCTGAACAGCGACACGTTCCTCCTCACACCCGCCAGTGACAGCCAGCAGCCTGAGATGCCATAGCGATCCAGGCGGCCCACGTGGCATCGGCGGGATGTCCTGGCCGTGCCCCATAGCGGCCTCCTGGGTCGCTATGGCGATTGTTACGCCACTGATTCATCCCATTTACCACTTCACCAAAATTATGTTGCTGCACAAAGCATAGTGCACACAAATAAAATGAAGTTGACATTTTTTTATTTTTTTTTTAACACTAACATTACAAAACAGGAACAAGCGAGCCATAAATGACATTTTACATACAAATAAATAAATTGACTTTTTGACAAATAAATAACATGTAGAATGAGACTAGCTAAGGAGCGAAGGAAATAGGAGGCTACAATGATTTTCTTTTTCCAGGATTTATTTATATATTTATTGGTTTGTTTATTATACCAGGTGATACTTCCTGCATTACAATCCTGTCCTACGGTGACAACACTCACTCACTGTACTGTATCTATGGAGGAGCAGCGTTATTGCCCTAGGACAGGAAGTGTGTTAGAACTACACGCACCACACTACACTAAACCTCCCTCTATCCTCATCTCCACAACACAAGGGAGGCAACTGCAGTTCACAGAAGGGAACTGAAAACGTTAAGGGGAATCTATTAAGAGTGTAAGACAGAATTTGGAGCTAATTTTGGAGAGTTAGTAAGTATCTGGTGGTAAAAACTAGGGATGCCGATACCGAGTGTTTGGGTGAGTACTCGTACTCGCCCAAATGCTCCGATACCTAGCACGATTACTTCCTGTATCAGGAAGCTGGGCAGCGCATCATTACACGCTGCCTGGTTTCCTGATTGGCCAGGAAACGGCTCCATGCTCTCTCGTCACTTGTGATGAGAGAGCACGGTGCCGACTTCCCGGCCAATCAGGAAGCCGGGTAGCGTGCAATGACGCGCTGCCCAGCTTCCCGATTGGTCAGGAAGCTAGCAAATCCGGAAGCCGGGCGCCGTGTAATGACGCAGCGCCTGGCATTCTGATTGGCCGGGAAGCCGGCGTCATGCTCCCTCGTCATCTCATGAATCATAATATTAAGAAAGTGACCTTAAAGCATTAGTTTGTATTGCTTTAGAAAAAATGTGACCTGTCCCTTTAAGAAAAAGTATCGGTAATTGGTATCTGCGAGTACTTGATCAAAAGTATCGGTACTCGTACTTGGTCTTAAAAAAGTGGCATCGGTGCATCCCTAGTAAAAACTCTTCTTTTTTTTTTTTAATCAACCTGCATCATCACTCTCTTACAACGTGGACAGCAGGAAGACCTTGGCATGAAATCGACAGAGATCAACGCTGCGTATTCTTAAAAAACAGCAGCAGTTTTTGTGAATTTGGGTGCACTGGGGGGACTCCATCAATCATGGTTCACTCTCTGCATGCATAATGAAGGCACCTTGAATTGATAGTAAAAGGTAGCCTTGACTGATGCAGGCATGGCCTAATAAGTAGGCGTTAACTTATATGTGCATGTAAAGTAGCTCCTTTGTGACTGGCTACAATCCCAAGGTGGTGTGAGCAGGCGGAGTCATGTTACTATACAGGACTACACAGTGACATTCCACAAGTGGGTAGAAGACTTCAATACCAGAAGAAGTTGCCCACCCTCCCAAGTTGTAAATGCTTGTCACAGCTTTATTGGCGGTCTGACCTTGCCAGCTAAAGAATGTGACTTTAATGGGCTATGCCCTCAGGTTGAAGTTATAACAGTCTAATGCCTGTCTGGCACTGATGGTAAAGACAGGTACCCCACTTTCAGGTGTGTTCACAGTTTAACTGTGACTGGCACTGGTTACGTTTTGGTTGTTATGTTTAAATTGGAAATAAAGCTGTGGCCTTGCCCTTTTCCAACTTAATTGTTGTCGGTGTCTTTTATGGGGCAAGGCTGACTATCAGCCAATGTGGAGTTTTTCTCTAGGCCTAGGCTTCTCATCAGTCACGGTGTGCATAGATAGTGGCCATTTTTTCCAGCCAAAGAATGTGCTGCCAATTCAATACAAGGGTGTGTCTGGGCATATATCAGTTTGGCCTATTATCGCAGATGAAAACTGTCCTGCTGCTGGCCAATTTGACCCTTTTGTGTCCTCTGAAGTATCTTAATTCTTGCTGTAAATCTCCCCCATGTGCTCTTTGTCGCTAGTAAATTTGGGTCTAGCTTTTGTTGGAATGTACAACACTTTCATGTACTAAAACTGCCAATTGTCTACCTTCAAATATTGAATCTAAGATTGCATGGGTCATGAAAGAAGCCAGCTGTGTTTTAGAAGTGTGTTGTGAACCAAACTAACTTGCGCTAACGGAAATAGTAAAACTAAATTAAGATGGATTAAAATTTAAAATAGATATTAATATGACCCCGGAGCTAAAATTTCTAAAACCAAGAAGGAAAAAAGCTGCTGAACTCAGGCTAAAAGACTACAGAATAATGGTGTAATGAAGTGTACAGCGCTAAATGCCCTTCAGGAAATTAGATGTCAAGCGATCGTGAAACAGTGTATATATAATAAATATTTGTGTAAAAACTTATAGTACGTTATAAAATGTGTCAGCAGGTGTCATAAAAGGCGTGTCATACATGAACCTTATTAAATAAATAAACAAAAATCTTCAAAGAACATGTGTCATATATGTGAAAAAAATATTAAATAAATAAATAAACATGTGTCATATATGTGAAAAATAAAAATATCACAATATGAAACAGTCTGTGTTGTTTTCTTTCGAAAATAAGTAGAAGTATGCACTTATAATATAAAAAATGCACCCGTTTCACGATTGCTTGACACGGAGGTGACACCATATGATCCCTACCGTTATCTAATTTCCTGAAGGGCATTTAGCGCTGTGTTTTAGAAGTGCTGGAAGCCATATGGTATTCATCCCTGCGGGAGGCATGGCAAGGGCTGTGATAGAGGTGAGATTCAGTCATCTGGACAGGACGTCACGCATTGCACCCTGTGGTGTTGATGGGGGTTATATGCGCATTGGGAAGACACCCTCAAGATATCCTGCATTGCATATGAAGGGGGCTGTCCATTATCTAAGGATCAAAGGACAAGGTGTTGACCTAGGCCGAGGAATGACCTGCAGTATGATGGTGCACCCTGCTGGAGGACTTCAGTGCCTGCGGACAAATATGAAGGAAGATGTGGATTGGCCGAAAGAACTATAAGGGAACACACGGAATTCTGGGTAAAGGGGTGTCAATGTACGTGTATGAATGGGTCCGGTTTACTATAAAAGTCAGTGCTCAGCTATATTGCTCTCTCTGCTCTCTCTAGAACTAGAGGACGGACTTGCTACGTAAAGTATTTTCTTTATTGTCTTATTGTACTTTTGTATCTATTTTATCTTTTAATATGTTTATTTATATTTCTGTATAAATAAATGACCATCGCTTCTTTTAACCATCGTATCGTTATCATCATTGGAAGCAGAGAATAGCAAGTTAGCTTATCTCAGGAAGCTTAAAGTCAATTTAGATATTACAGGCTTGCTCATTGGTCAGCTGATATCAGGGACAGTTACAACGTGCTACTGGCCAATTTCTATTATCTGGTCAAAGTGGGTTTGATTACAATGCATGTGTCACAGCTAAAGCTAGCTGAATAAAAGGCTTTTTTTTCTAACCGAAATGAATTAGATTGGGGTGTTGCTGCTGTATGTAAGCCAATGGGACCTCAATTGGAATTTTCACCAAATTCTGAACAAGATTTGCTGCAAATCAAACCCAGGCAGATTCTCCCATCACTACAGGAGACCTTCAAACTGGGGAAGAACTATCTTTTCTGTTTTTGTGGTAGATGTCCTGACCGCTTGCTGTTTTGTGATTTTTAGACAATATCGAGAGGAACCAGACACTGGTCACAGAGTTTCTCCTTCTGGGCCTTGGAAACCTCCACAGATTCCGGATTCCACTCTTCATCGTTTTTCTGATTGCTCACATCATGGCCATAACCAGCAATGTCCTAGTTATTACCTTGGTGGTGGCCAACCAGACTCTACACTCTCCCATGTACTTCTTTCTCAGCCAGTTGTCCTTGTGTGAAATCCTCTTCACCAGTAACCTTGTCCCTAACATGTTATGGTTGATATGGGTAAGCGGAGGAAAGGTATCCATTGCCAGATGTATTTCTCAGTTTTTTCTACTTGCAGTCCCGACTATTACCCAATGCGTGCTGCTGGCTTCTATGTCTTTTGATAGATATGTGGCTATCTGCAAACCGTTACATTATACTATCATCATGACTTTCACACGTCAGCGTCAAATGGTCGTCTTCTGTTGGTTGGTGGGCCTCACGCTCTCTTTCGTACTTTATATTTTCTTAAAACAGTTAAAATTCTGTGACCTCGACGTCATCAATCACTTTTTTTGTGACATTCCTCCACTTGTGGAGATTTCATGTTCCGATACGTACTTCATGAAACTGCTCACGTCTCTTGTGTCCCGTGCGGTGGTTCCTTTTCCATTCTTGTTTATTGTGGTGACCTACATCTTCATCCTCCGAGCCATCCTGAAGATCCCATCTACCACCGGCAGAAAGAAAGCCTTCTCCACCTGCAGCTCCCATCTTATTGTTGTTTGTACGTACTATGGCACGTTGTCTACAGTCTACATCTTGCCACCAAGAGAGAACTCTGTAAACACCAACAAGGGCCTGTCTTTGCTTTACATCTTGGTGACCCCTTTGTTCAATCCTCTCGTCTACAGTTTGCGGAATCAAGATATTAGAGCTGCCGCTGTCAAGTCTCTCAAAATGTTGAGTTGGCAAAAGCTTTAGGTTTCTTGGTGTCTCAATCAGACTAGACATCTAATATAGACTCAGCTACCTTCTGAACCTTAAAAACAATTTCAATATTTTATATTGTGATTATATTGTTAAATTCCATATTTTACAGAGCTCATATAGTGATTCATTTTGGTATTTCTGCTGTATATAAGAGAAAAAAAGCTTCTACAATGACAATCAGGACCTCCTTCCTCCTGCTGGGGATCCCTCTAGTGATAACTAAAGATCTATATAGAGGAATCAGGACCTCCTTCCTCCTGCTGGGGACCCCTCTAGTGATAATAAAGATCTATATAGAGGAATCAGGACCTCCTTCCTCCTGCTGGAGATCCCTCTAGTGATAACTGAAGATCTATATAGAGGAATTAGGACTTCCAAAGTAATAAGTTAAACCTTAGGCAACATAAACATAAAACTTAACAGTGCTACTGGGCTCAGTAGCTCAAGGTGCAGTATACACACAAAAGTAAGTTACAGCAGTGTCTCCTCCCTTGTCAGAGAGCTCACAATGAGGTTTTAGTGAGGGAGTTTTAATGCCTAAAGCAGACAACAACTTCCGTGTTCCCTCTTCAGCTAATTAAATGTGTAAATATAAGGAAAGCTGACTCTCAGTTATTGGTTTTTATAAATGTCCCACAGTTGGGAACAATTTAGTATCTTCTTTACATGATTGAGTAGCGGCACATCTGAAGTAATATATAGGTGTCTTGCTGCACTCCTCACCGGTATAGGGTGTTCCTTGAAATCCTGGTGGGTGCTCGTAGTGACCACGGAATCGGATGGCGCCGTGAAGATGACAGCACTCCATTAATAAATTGACTTTTGTTGATTTCACTTAAAATGGTGTGCTGGTGACATCCATTTGCAAAGGGGTACCTCTTAAGACACAATTTGGCTGTTTAATACCCGAGGGTCTCCTGAGGAAGCAGACTATAGAGGTTCTGCGAAATGCCTTGAGTACTATACTCGAACTATACACCGATCAGCCATAACATTATGACCACTGAGAGCTGAATTGAATAACAGTATTTATCTCATTACACTGGCACCTGGAGGGGAGAGGGGGGATATATTACAATGGCTCCTGGACATGGGGGAGGGGGGATATATTACAATGGCTCCTGGAAACGGGGTGGGGGAATATATTAGGCAGCAAGTGAACATTTTGTCCCTGAAGTTGATGTGTTGGAAGCAGAAAAAATGTACACATTCCTGTGTATGGGTGCTGGGTTCCCATAGGCATGTTGTTGGTGATGGACAAGAAAGCAACAACTTTGATGAAACAGATGAAAATATTTATTGGTAACACAAAAGTTTCCTTTCCTTCCGTTATCTAAAGCAATGGTTGTTAGTGTTCAAACTCTCCAATCACACAGTCCACTCTGTGGAAGACATGTTATATAATGTGCATAGTGGAAACCATTCCAGATAGTGCAGTATAGGCATTTAGACCTCTACAGTTGTAAAAAAAAAAAAAAAAAAAAAAAAAAAAAACACAAAACACACATCTACATACAAAAATGGGTATTATTGTACTTAGTATGGGCCAGAACACAGAGGCAGTGGCTTAAGGCATGAGAAAAAGTGGAAAAAACAAGTGACAGATAGGGCTAGGCTTAGGACAATGCACCTTACAGAACTGCTGAGATTAGTACAGGGCACTGTGCATGGTGCTGAGATTAGTGCAGGGCATCGTGCATTGATCTGGGATTAATACAGGGCACTGTGGCGTGCATAGATCTGGGATTAGTACCCTGCATGGGGCTAGGATTATTACAGGGCACTGTGGCGTGCATAGATCTGTGATTAGTACCCTGCATGGGGCTAGGATTATTAGGGGCACTGTGCATGGTGCAGGGATTAGTACAAGGCACCGTGCATGGAGCTGGGATTATTACAGGGCACTGTGGCGTGCATAGATCTGGGATTAGTGCCGTGCATGGAGCCTAGGATTATTAGGGGCACTGTGTATGGTGCTGAGCTTATTACAGGGCACTGTGCATGGTGCTGGGATTATTACAGGGCACTGTGCATGGAACTGGGATTATTACAGGGCACTGTGGCGTGCATAGATATGGGATTGGTGCCGTGCATGGGGCTAGGATTATTACAGGGCACCGTGTATGGAGCTGAGATTAGTACAAGGCACCGTATATAAAGCTCAGGTTAGGATACGTCATTCGGTGTTTAGCAAAGTTTAATAAAGGGCACTGTGAGTAGAGCTGGAATTAGTACAAGGCACTATATATAAAGCTCAGATTATAACAGGGCATTGCATCTAGGATTACCAGAGCTGGGATTACCAGAGGAGAGCATGCACAGTGCTAAGTTTAAGATCTTCCTCTGTGCATAGACCTAGGATTACATTAGTATGGTACATATTACCAGGATAGGTGCTGGAATGTTTTTATGTAGTGGGGATTGTATTACATTGTGTCTTCTACATAAAGGGCCCACCAAATGCTGAGATGACACATGAATGTTGGGTTTTGCTAGTGCTGGTGAGTCCTGGAAGACCGTCAGAGTTTTCTATTTCTTGGTTAGTCATAGAGCCCCTCCAGTAGGGTCACGTCCAGACTTCAGTGGGGATAACTCCCTCCTTGCTGTTTAACGGCGGTAACAGTCTCTCCTCAGAAAGAAAGTGCAACGGAAACTCCACCAAATGGCCCTTCACTCGCATTAACATCTCCCTGGAGAGCAGGGGGTCCGTGCTGGCAAGGCTGGGCGTGGCTGTATAGGCCTGGCGTACGCGGTGGCTCGGCACAGCATTGGTCGGGAGACAACGGAACACCTTAGAGAGTGGGACAGACACAAAGCAATCAGAGTTGATATTGAAATTAGACAGTTGTCATCTGTACTACAGCTGAGCTGACCTGCGTTTATGTCACCCTAATCCCAATTTACCAGATGTAACTGAATCCATTAAAGGGTCACTTCACCCTAAAGTGATATTTCATTCATAGGTTGAGTTTTGTGGGTTTCTTTGATACCCTGAGGACTCAAATGGTGAGAACTTCACGTCATACCTCTAAGCTTTGTTCTTCTCAACCTTTTCTTGGACCACCAACTTTTTGGTAGACCCTGCCTACATAGGATTGTCCAACATATGAAACATATAAAAACCCAGCATGGATAGTGGGAGCCCCTCATAATGAGCACAGCAAGTGTACAGACCCGGGAGCTCAGCACATGGATAGTGGGAGCCACTCATAATGGGCACAGCGGGTGTACAGACCCGGGGACTCAGCACAGGGAGGGGGGGAGCTCCTCATAATGGGCCCAGCAGGTGTACAGAACCTGGAACTTAGCACGTGGATAGTGGGAGCCCCTCATAATGAGCACAGCAAGTGTACAGACCCGGGAACTCAGCACAGGGATGGTAGGGAGCCCCTCATAGTGGGCACAGCAGGTGTACAGACCCTGGAACTTAGCACGTGGATAGTGGGAGCCCCTCATAATGAGCACAGCAAGTGTACAGACCCGGGAACTCAGCACAGGGATGGTAGGGAGCCCCTCATAGTGGGCACAGCAGGTGTACAGACCCTGGAACTTAGCACGTGGATAGTGGGAGCCCCTCATAATGAGCACAGCAAGTGTACAGACCCGGGAACTCAGCACAGGGATGGTAGGGAGCCCCTCATAGTGGGCACAGCAGGTGTACAGACCCTGGAACTTAGCACGTGGATAGTGGGAGCCCCTCATAATGAGCACAGCAAGTGTACAGACCCGGGAACTCAGCACAGGGATGGTAGGGAGCCCCTCATAGTGGGCACAGCAGGTGTACAGACCCTGGAACTTAGCACGTGGATAGTGGGAGCCCCTCATAATGAGCACAGCAAGTGTACAGACCCGGGAACTCAGCACAGGGATGGTAGGGAGCCCCTCATAGTGGGCACAGCAGGTGTACAGACCCTGGAACTTAGCACGTGGATAGTGGGAGCCCCTCATAATGAGCACAGCAAGTGTACAGACCCGGGAACTCAGCACAGGGATGGTAGGGAGCCCCTCATAGTGGGCACAGCAGGTGTACAGACCCTGGAACTTAGCACGTGGATAGTGGGAGCCCCTCATAATGAGCACAGCAAGTGTACAGACCCGGGAACTCAGCACAGGGATGGTAGGGAGCCCCTCATAGTGGGCACAGCAGGTGTACAGACCCTGGAACTTAGCACGTGGATAGTGGGAGCCCCTCATAATGAGCACAGCAAGTGTACAGACCCGGGAACTCAGCACAGGGATGGTAGGGAGCCCCTCATAGTGGGCACAGCAGGTGTACAGACCCTGGAACTTAGCACGTGGATAGTGGGAGCCCCTCATAATGAGCACAGCAAGTGTACAGACCCGGGAACTCAGCACAGGGATGGTAGGGAGCCCCTCATAGTGGGCACAGCAGGTGTACAGACCCTGGAACTTAGCACGTGGATAGTGGGAGCCCCTCATAATGAGCACAGCAAGTGTACAGACCCGGGAACTCAGCACAGGGATGGTAGGGAGCCCCTCATAGTGGGCACAGCAGGTGTACAGACCCTGGAACTTAGCACGTGGATAGTGGGAGCCCCTCATAATGAGCACAGCAAGTGTACAGACCCGGGAACTCAGCACAGGGATGGTAGGGAGCCCCTCATAGTGGGCACAGCAGGTGTACAGACCCTGGAACTTAGCACGTGGATAGTGGGAGCCCCTCATAATGAGCACAGCAAGTGTACAGACCCGGGAACTCAGCACAGGGATGGTAGGGAGCCCCTCATAGTGGGCACAGCAGGTGTACAGACCCTGGAACTTAGCACGTGGATAGTGGGAGCCCCTCATAATGAGCACAGCAAGTGTACAGACCCGGGAACTCAGCACAGGGATGGTAGGGAGCCCCTCATAGTGGGCACAGCAGGTGTACAGACCCTGGAACTTAGCACGTGGATAGTGGGAGCCCCTCATAATGAGCACAGCAAGTGTACAGACCCGGGAACTCAGCACAGGGATGGTAGGGAGCCCCTCATAGTGGGCACAGCAGGTGTACAGACCCTGGAACTTAGCACGTGGATAGTGGGAGCCCCTCATAATGAGCACAGCAAGTGTACAGACCCGGGAACTCAGCACAGGGATGGTAGGGAGCCCCTCATAGTGGGCACAGCAGGTGTACAGACCCTGGAACTTAGCACGTGGATAGTGGGAGCCCCTCATAATGAGCACAGCAAGTGTACAGACCCGGGAACTCAGCACAGGGATGGTAGGGAGCCCCTCATAGTGGGCACAGCAGGTGTACAGACCCTGGAACTTAGCACGTGGATAGTGGGAGCCCCTCATAATGAGCACAGCAAGTGTACAGACCCGGGAACTCAGCACAGGGATGGTAGGGAGCCCCTCATAGTGGGCACAGCAGGTGTACAGACCCTGGAACTTAGCACGTGGATAGTGGGAGCCCCTCATAATGAGCACAGCAAGTGTACAGACCCGGGAACTCAGCACAGGGATGGTAGGGAGCCCCTCATAGTGGGCACAGCAGGTGTACAGACCCTGGAACTTAGCACGTGGATAGTGGGAGCCCCTCATAATGAGCACAGCAAGTGTACAGACCCGGGAACTCAGCACAGGGATGGTAGGGAGCCCCTCATAGTGGGCACAGCAGGTGTACAGACCCTGGAACTTAGCACGTGGATAGTGGGAGCCCCTCATAATGAGCACAGCAAGTGTACAGACCCGGGAACTCAGCACAGGGATGGTAGGGAGCCCCTCATAGTGGGCACAGCAGGTGTACAGACCCTGGAACTTAGCACGTGGATAGTGGGAGCCCCTCATAATGAGCACAGCAAGTGTACAGACCCGGGAACTCAGCACAGGGATGGTAGGGAGCCCCTCATAGTGGGCACAGCAGGTGTACAGACCCTGGAACTTAGCACGTGGATAGTGGGAGCCCCTCATAATGAGCACAGCAAGTGTACAGACCCGGGAACTCAGCACAGGGATGGTAGGGAGCCCCTCATAGTGGGCACAGCAGGTGTACAGACCCTGGAACTTAGCACGTGGATAGTGGGAGCCCCTCATAATGAGCACAGCAAGTGTACAGACCCGGGAACTCAGCACAGGGATGGTGGCGGGAGCTCCTCATAATGGGCACAGCAGGTGTACAGACCCGGGAACTCAGCACAGGGATGGTAGGGAGCCCCTCATAGTGGGCACAGCAGGTGTACAGACCCTGGAACTTAGCACGTGGATAGTGGGAGCCCCTCATAATGGGCACAGCGGGGGAGCAGAGCTGAGAACTCAGTACAGGGATGGTGGGAAACCCTCATAATGGGTGAGCAGAGCTGGGAACCCCAAAGGTTTCTTCTCTTTTCCTGTGAATCTGTTGGTGGAATCCCTGTGCTGAGGTTCTGTGCCCAGTATGGGGGGCTCCCACCATTCACGTGGTACTGGTAAGCCCGATGGAAATCCTACTTGCTGGAAGGGGCACATTCTACAAGCAAAAAAAAACCCCACTACCCTGCAATGAAAAAATGAGAACTGAGGGAATCAGTTCAGTAACAAGCAGTTTAAATCATGCATTAAGCTTGGTAGCACCTCTAAGATTCGGGTACCTGGTCATACAGCGCTGCGTTATTGAGTGCTATTTGACTCCAGACATCATTGAAGAACTGATCGGAAACCGGATCCGACACGTCCAGACATGGAGCCTGCAGAGCGCCCAGAATTGTGCTGTAAAGAAAGAGAGAGACTCACAATGCATCGAAAGTACAATAATGTCCATGTATCCCGCCTTAGTTTGGGACCCCAAGTGTCAGCGAGTCATTGTTATATGACCCCAAGTGTCAGTGTGTCATTGTTCTATCATCCCAAGTGTCAGGCTGTCACTGTTCTGGGGCCCCCCAAGTGTCAGGCTGTCATTGTTCTATGACCACTAATCGTCAATCTATCATTATTATGGGAACCCCAAGTGTCAGTGTGTCATTGTTCTATCATCCCAAGTGTCAGCGTGTCATTGTTCTATCACCCCAAGTGTCAGTGCGCCATTGTTCTATGAACCCCAAGTGTCAGTGCGCCATTGTTCTATCACCCCAAGTGTCCATGTGACATTGTTCTATCACCCCAAGTGTCAGCGTGTCATTGTTCCATCACCCCAAGTGTCCATGTGACATTGTTCTATCATCCCAAGTGTCAGTGTGTCATTGTTCTCTGACCCCCAAGTGTCAGCATGTCATTGTTCTCTGACCCCCAAGTCTCAGCATGTCATTGTTCTGTGACCCCCAAGTGTCAGCATGTCATTGTTCTATGACCCCAAGTGTCCATGTGACATTGTTCTATCATCCCAAGTGTCAGTGTGTCATTGTTCTCTGACCCCCAAGTGTCAGCATGTCATTGTTCTATGACCCCCAAGTCTCAGCATGTCATTGTTCTGTGACCCCCAAGTGTCAGCATGTCATTGTTCTATGACCCCAAGTGTCCATGTGACATTGGATTGAAGAAAATAGGTCACCAGCACTCCATAAGTTAAAATGAATGAGTCCTTTTAATGGACAATGATGTCACAGAAATCCAACATGAGCCGACGTTTCGGGGCCACACAGGGTCCCTTCTTCAAGGCAAGAGATGTGTTTTGCACGGTGCCATCCGTGAAGTTACTTTGAGCACCATTTATTTGATTGTTGGCCGGGACTGCTGAAAGGTGTGCGGAGGGCACCTCCATCAATTCCATGTGACATTGTTCTATCACCCCAAGTGTCAGCATGTCATTGTTCTGTGACCCCAAGTGTCAGTGTGCAATTGTTCTATGACCCCAAGTGTCAGTGTGTCATTGTTCTATCACCCCAATTGTCAGCATGTCATTGTTCTGTGACCCCAAGTGTCAGTGTGCCATTGTTCTATGACCCCAAGTGTCAGTGTGTCATTGTTCTATCACCCCAAGTGTCCATGTGACATTGTTATATGACCCCCAAGTGTCCATGTGACATTGTTATATGACCCCCAAGTGTCCATGTGACATTGTTATATGACCCCAAGTGTCAGTGTGCCATTGTTCTATCACCCCAGGTGTCAGGCTGTCACTGTTCTGTGGCCCACGAAGTGTCCATGTGCCATTGTTCTGGGATCCCAAATATCACTGTATCCCCCTCCAGGAATCCGGTGATTGTTCTAGAAGTCACTATGTCACATTGTCGGTGTGTGAGGCTCACATTGTAGATACAAAAGTCTGAATACTCTGCAGCAGCCTCGGATATTTATTACTCACTTGAAACAATCCATCCGGAGGCTCAGCGCAAATTTCCCAGCCTGGTACACCTTGCCGTTCATTGTGGAGTTCACAAATTCCGAATCTTCCACAAACACAGCCAGCTCGCTGTCCCGCTTTCCCAGCATGCTCCTGTCATTAATGTTAGCTGAACCTTCATAAGAAAACAAAATGGAGTTGGTCACTCTTCACGCAGGCTCACCCCATGCAAACCGCAAGCTTCTTTTAGCGAGATATCTGAAAGCTGAACTGTCTGTGGGGAGCAGAGACACCATCGGTGCTTACTTCCATTTTCCAGACTGTTGTGGGGATAAATAGTAGTGTGAGCCAATCAGGATTCTTGACATTACACAGTGCTGTCAGTCCAACGAAGGGGACATGCTTACAGAAGGACACGGTACAGAGGTAACCTCATCATTGCATTACTCCTTCATTGCATGATCAACAGTCAGGGAGGTGACACCCACCACCACTGTAATCCTAAACTAACAAAGAGTGGTGTCACCGCCCTTGTCTATGTATTGTGGTAGGAATATGTAAATCACAAAAGTGGATATAGGAGGCGTACCGATTATAACCATTCTGTCGTCAACAATCAGCATCTTGCTGTGTATGTAAATGAGCTCCGTCACTAGAGAGCCGTCCGGGAACTCAGCACAGGGATGGTGGGAGCTCCTCATAATGGGCACAGCAGGTGTACAGACCCGGGAACTCAGCACAGGGATGGTGGGAGCCCCTCATAATGGGCACAGCGGGTGTACAGATCCGGGAACTAAGCACAGGGATGGTGGGAGCTCCTCATAATGGGCACAGCAGGTGTACAGACCCGGGAACTCAGCACAGGGATGGTAGGGAGCCCCTCATAGTGGGCACAGCAGGTGTACAGACCCTGGAACTTAGCACGTGGATAGTGGGAGCCCCTCATAATGGGCACAGCGGGGGAGCAGAGCTGAGAACTCAGTACAGGGATGGTGGGAAACCCTCATAATGGGTGAGCAGAGCTGGGAACCCCAAAGGTTTCTTCTCTTTTCCTGTGAATCTGTTGGTGGAATCCCTGTGCTGAGGTTCTGTGCCCAGTATGGGGGGCTCCCACCATTCACGTGGTACTGGTAAGCCCGATGGAAATCCTACTTGCTGGAAGGGGCACATTCTACAAGCAAAAAAAAACCCCACTACCCTGCAATGAAAAAATGAGAACTGAGGGAATCAGTTCAGTAACAAGCAGTTTAAATCATGCATTAAGCTTGGTAGCACCTCTAAGATTCGGGTACCTGGTCATACAGCGCTGCGTTATTGAGTGCTATTTGACTCCAGACATCATTGAAGAACTGATCGGAAACCGGATCCGACACGTCCAGACATGGAGCCTGCAGAGCGCCCAGAATTGTGCTGTAAAGAAAGAGAGAGACTCACAATGCATCGAAAGTACAATAATGTCCATGTATCCCGCCTTAGTTTGGGACCCCAAGTGTCAGCGAGTCATTGTTATATGACCCCAAGTGTCAGTGTGTCATTGTTCTATCATCCCAAGTGTCAGGCTGTCACTGTTCTGGGGCCCCCCAAGTGTCAGGCTGTCATTGTTCTATGACCACTAATCGTCAATCTATCATTATTATGGGAACCCCAAGTGTCAGTGTGTCATTGTTCTATCATCCCAAGTGTCAGCGTGTCATTGTTCTATCACCCCAAGTGTCAGTGCGCCATTGTTCTATGAACCCCAAGTGTCAGTGCGCCATTGTTCTATCACCCCAAGTGTCCATGTGACATTGTTCTATCACCCCAAGTGTCAGCGTGTCATTGTTCCATCACCCCAAGTGTCCATGTGACATTGTTCTATCATCCCAAGTGTCAGTGTGTCATTGTTCTCTGACCCCCAAGTGTCAGCATGTCATTGTTCTATGACCCCCAAGTCTCAGCATGTCATTGTTCTGTGACCCCCAAGTGTCAGCATGTCATTGTTCTATGACCCCAAGTGTCCATGTGACATTGGATTGAAGAAAATAGGTCACCAGCACTCCATAAGTTAAAATGAATGAGTCCTTTTAATGGACAATGATGTCACAGAAATCCAACATGAGCCGACGTTTCGGGGCCACACAGGGTCCCTTCTTCAAGGCAAGAGATGTGTTTTGCACGGTGCCATCCGTGAAGTTACTTCGAGCACCATTTATTTGATTGTTGTGACGTTTCGGGGCCACACAGGGTCCCTTCTTCAAGGCAAGACTTGTGTTTTGCACGGTGCCATCCGTGAAGTTACTTTGAGCACCATTTATTTGATTGTTGGCCGGGACTGCTGAAAGGTGTGCGGAGGGCACCTCCATCAATTCCATGTGACATTGTTCTATCACCCCAAGTGTCAGCATGTCATTGTTCTGTGACCCCAAGTGTCAGTGTGCCATTGTTCTATGACCCCAAGTGTCAGTGTGTCATTGTTCTATCACCCCAATTGTCAGCATGTCATTGTTCTGTGACCCCAAGTGTCAGTGTGCCATTGTTCTATGACCCCAAGTGTCAGTGTGTCATTGTTCTATCACCCCAAGTGTCCATGTGACATTGTTATATGACCCCCAAGTGTCCATGTGACATTGTTATATGACCCCCAAGTGTCCATGTGACATTGTTATATGACCCCAAGTGTCAGTGTGCCATTGTTCTATCACCCCAGGTGTCAGGCTGTCACTGTTCTGTGGCCCACGAAGTGTCCATGTGCCATTGTTCTGGGATCCCAAATATCACTGTATCCCCCTCCAGGAATCCGGTGATTGTTCTAGAAGTCACTATGTCACATTGTCGGTGTGTGAGGCTCACATTGTAGATACAAAAGTCTGAATACTCTGCAGCAGCCTCGGATATTTATTACTCACTTGAAACAATCCATCCGGAGGCTCAGCGCAAATTTCCCAGCCTGGTACACCTTGCCGTTCATTGTGGAGTTCACAAATTCCGAATCTTCCACAAACACAGCCAGCTCGCTGTCCCGCTTTCCCAGCATGCTCCTGTCATTAATGTTAGCTGAACCTTCATAAGAAAACAAAATGGAGTTGGTCACTCTTCACGCAGGCTCACCCCATGCAAACCGCAAGCTTCTTTTAGCGAGATATCTGAAAGCTGAACTGTCTGTGGGGAGCAGAGACACCATCGGTGCTTACTTCCATTTTCCAGACTGTTGTGGGGATAAATAGTAGTGTGAGCCAATCAGGATTCTTGACATTACACAGTGCTGTCAGTCCAACGAAGGGGACATGCTTACAGAAGGACACGGTACAGAGGTAACCTCATCATTGCATTACTCCTTCATTGCATGATCAACAGTCAGGGAGGTGACACCCACCACCACTGTAATCCTAAACTAACAAAGAGTGGTGTCACCGCCCTTGTCTATGTATTGTGGTAGGAATATGTAAATCACAAAAGTGGATATAGGAGGCGTACCGATTATAACCATTCTGTCGTCAACAATCAGCATCTTGCTGTGTATGTAAATGAGCTCCGTCACTAGAGAGCCGTCAGGCATGTCGCCGTGCGTCCGCAGGCTGCAAACCGAGAGGTACTGCCGCCAGCTGTCGCCCACTGCAAAAAAGGAAAAAGATAAAAACACCAAATACAAAATGACAAACAAATTCCACCAACCCTCCATGACATTCGGACCCTCCAAGACTTACTCTCCTCCTTCAGCTGAAAGATGATCGAATTCTCGCCGCGGCAAAGAGAACTGGAAAAGAAAGGACTTCGGATTACTCGTTTGGAGATGCTTTATGAAGATGTAACAAGGTCTTTATAGAACAAATTGCTTCCTCCACGGCTGCCACAATGGCTCAGGCCAGACAGGTCTACAGTAGGAATGAGATTCGGGTTCAAGGTAAAATGGACCTGCCAGTTTGCGGCCTCAAATCCCTGCTGATAAAATGTAAACAAAGCAGACGGGGATCCCGGATGAGATCATTGACCAATCATGGGAATGGACACATTTTGGTTAATGACATCATTCAGGAACCCCAATGCCGTTGCCATTTAGAAGTGAGGGGTCACCATAACAGCGCTGTACTCCTTTCCCTAAGGGGGTGGCTATCTGAAGGCCCCTTTATTTTGAATCACCCCAAACACAATTCTGCACAGCTTCTTGGAGACCGGATGGGAGGAAGAGGCCCTTCAACATTGGGACAAGGAAGCTTTTGAGGGGTTGAGACAAGGCCACCCCCCTGTCTTGCAAAGTACCCCCCAATGCTCAAAGGCATGTGGCCTGGTATGGTACAAGAAGAGGAGGACCACTTACTCACTGCCCTCCCTTTCCTGGCCACCCAGGCTGTATTCCTGGACAAGGGTCTGGTGGGACTTTTAAGGGGTACCTTAGATGGCATCTCATTGGATCATGTGGGGGGGGGGCGGAGGCAGTGGTGCTGGATGAGATCATTGACCAATCATGGGAATGGACACATTTTGGTTAATGACATCATTCAGGAACCCCAATGCCGTTGCCATTTAGAAGTGAGGGGTCACCATAACAGCGCTGTACTCCTTTCCCTAAGGGGGTGGCTATCTGAAGGCCCCTTTATTTTGAATCACCCCAAACACAATTCTGCACAGCTTCTTGGAGACCGGATGGGAGGAAGAGGCCCTTCAACATTGGGACAAGGAAGCTTTTGAGGGGTTGAGACAAGGCCACCCCCCTGTCTTGCAAAGTACCCCCCAATGCTCAAAGGCATGTGGCCTGGTATGGTACAAGAAGAGGAGGACCACTTACTCACTGCCCTCCCTTTCCTGGCCACCCAGGCTGTATTCCTGGACAAGGGTCTGGTGGGACTTTTAAGGGGTACCTTAGATGGCATCTCATTGGATCATGTGGGGGGGGGGGAGCAGGCAGAGTGGCATGGCTGCTCTGCTGCACAATGTTTACAGTGAGCCTGCCGCCCCCTTTCCAGCCAGAACATCCCAGGTTGCTAGGGCAGGGCGAGCTCCTTGTACAGCTCTTAGCAACCTGGGACACTCTTGTCAGTGTCCTGCCCATCTCCTGGGAATCAGTGATGTCACTTGTTGGCAGGAGCTACGTGGGACGTCGACCAGGGTTGGGTGGGATGATGATGCAGAGAAACCCCCCCCATTAGCATGCACCATCCCCTACCAATCTGCCTAAGGAAACCTAAAGTAGCACCCCTGACATGTGCGGTCTTGTCATGCGCAAAAATCCACCTTGCCTGTGTAGGCAGGAAACCTAGCACCGGCCCCGACTGCACTTCAGTAGGGATTGGCTCTATATTCGGAGTTCACAGACTTCTTGCTGAGTGCGCTGAACCCCCTGCAAATCAAATTTTTCCTAGTTCGCTCATCCCTAGCTTACAGTATAGGTAGTTATAGAACAGGAAAGCTGTATTACCTGTATGTAAAGTGCAAAATGGCCTGGATGGAGTATCCCCCACCCAGCTCAATGTTCCCCTCGAAGCCGGGCAACAGTGGGATGACGATGAAGACTCGGAAGGTGGCGTTTTCCCTGCAAAGAAAGATCATGCATCAGTGGCCATATGAATCCTAGTTCAGTTAATATGTGTGTAAGCATGGAAAGTCACATGGATAGAAAAATTGTCATCTGCACTTACGTCTTTTTGAACCGCTCTTTTATTAAAAAATGGTAAAAAAAAGTGGCAGTACAAGAATTAAAGTTCCGCCAACTCAGGGTCA